TATATATATATATATATATATATATATAGAGCGCGCGCGCTCGATCGGGCGCACGTATATGTGTAAGAGAGAGAGAGAGAGAGAGAGAGAGAGAGGCACACGCACGCACGCATATATAGGCAGGCTCTCTTTACGAAACCGTAACGCTCACTACCGACATTCCCACTCCCAAGAGCAAAGACGGACGCGAATGCGCGCGCCCATCATCCCTCCCGTAGTGGGCGCCCAGGAGGCGGGCGTCTATAGGCCCACTTTACGTCTGAATTTTTGAAAAACTTTTTCCCGACACTTTTCGCCTGACTGGCTCCCCGCGGAAAACTAGCCAGCCCGGTATTGCCCGTCTCGAGTTTCTTCCATTCATCGCGGTCTCCCCCCTTCCCATCATTCTCCGCCAATTTGCCATTGTGCGCGCCCGAGCCTTCCCGGCTCTTTTTCACCTTCCTCGAGAGCGTGAAAAAACTTGAATGGCGCGAGGCATCAAAACACCTCGTCAACATTTCAGCCGAGCCTCCGAGAATTCGGCCCGATCGCTTTGCCAGCCCGCCATTGTGCCGGGGAGGAACCTTTCGTCAACTCTTGTCAGCTCGTGTCTATATACAAGACGACGTCCGCTTGCTCTCCCGTCCCCGTCGGGCCACGAATTTATCGTAAGTTGCTGAGGGTCATACGCGCGCCATAAACGGACAGACAGACGGACAGACAGACAGACAGACAGACAGACAGACAGACAGAGAGTGTGAGAGAGAAAAAGAGCATCGTTGATCCAAGCTCGCGCGATAATAATAATAATGCGCCTGGGGACGGCTAAGCAAAGTCCCAGTCCGACGGATTCCTCGGCCACGTTGTGTATGTGGCAAGTGGCAAGCGGCCAACCAACGAGTCGAGCCTTTCGCAATTTTGCGATTGCGACTTATAGGGCAGTGCCGGTAAAGTCGTAGATCGCCCTCTCGAATCACGGGCTTACCCAGCGAATCCTCGATCCCTGAATTTCAATAAATTGCAACTGAGAGGAATTCGCGTGACGGCGGGAGTCGAAACGATACTTGCTTAGCTTGCGAAAAATGTCGGCGAGCCGTTGTTTGAAGATTTAATGGCTGGAGGGTGAGAGCGAGAGAGAGAGAGAGAGAGAGAGAGAGAGTAACGACTACTCGTCGTTAAAAGGGTCGTCTTTGATTTCGCCATTATCGTGAAACGTACCGAAAGGCCAATTTGATATCGGCAAAGGGCACAGACTGATGACGTGATAATGTGATGATGTGATAGAATCAAAGTGGCTACTCGTTCAATACGTGGGGTTGTTATGGAAGATTAGCGCGAACCCCACTATCGAGTCACGTCAAAGGAGTCGTCGTCCTGCCTTTTAAAACATTTAAATCCAGCCCCGCGGCTTGGCTTAAACGAAAATGTTGTATGTAATTGCGTTATAAATTAAAGTGATCAAATATTATTAGACTTTATCTATAACGTTCTTTAACATGGATGCGTGTAAGTGTAGGTTTTGGGCTCGGTATAACGCTCGGATCTCTCCAACTTTGAAAATCAATTTTTATAAGCCGGTCGGGGTCTTATCGAGTTAATGCAAGTTTGATCTGCGCGGAGTAACGACCGTATTAATTACATTTTATAAAGATTTGATAACACCAGGTAGATATATGTGCTTTCGTTTATCTGACCTTTTTTCTCAACATTTTTCATTACTTCTTTATTTTGAAATTTTTTGCTTCTAAACACGACGATCGATAGCTTTTTAGAGACAGTAAATGTAATTAAACGCGAGGAAAGCGAATGTTTGCAACAAAGTTTTAAGGATATTATGATTATCGTTAACATTAAAGTGCAGCAGGCTAAGCGGCATTAGACTTTGACAATGAATTCTTTTTTCCAAGTTCCGGAATTCGGAGAGAGAGTAAGAGAGAGTAAGAGAGAGAGAGAGAGAGAGAGAGAGAGAGAGAGAGAGAGAGAGAGAGAGAAAAGAAAGAGAGAAAAGTTGGAAGCCCCCGTGCTAACATTGCTAAAATGTTGTGTATTTCGCAGCGAGGCACTTACCAACGACATTCCAAACGATTTCATTGGATTCTCATATGCGTCGTCGCAATTGTCAAGTTTTAGAAAGTTATGCCGCTCCATAGGAACGATCAAGTGAATAGCAAAGAGGAAGTAATCGTAACGAAATATCGTGGATTGAAATTTTTACGTCATTTAATCTTGTTTATATCGAAGTATGGGACCGAGCGAAAACTTCACATTAACATGACTTTGGATTAATATTTAGCGCCATAAACTTAAATTACAAAGTATGGGGATAAAATGTGCTTCCTCTGAGCGAGCGAAAGACCTTCTTTCCGTATTATAAAATTGCGAAAATATCTGATGTCCGTAAGCCGTCGACCGTCCGACGGGACAATTTATGTACGAGCGTACTAAAATATCCATAACTTTCGTCAAAAAAATCAATAGGCTATTTGAGCGCAATATCTCTCCTCCTTTTATTCTTGTTATTTTTATTGTTGTTTTTGTTGTTTGTTGTTGTTGTTACGCGGATTCGACTCCTCGAGGATTTGGCTAAATATAGAAGAAGCTTTAGTCACGTCAAATTTTGCAAGAGAGACACGATGTAGCGTAAGTAATAAGGAGACAATACTCGGCTCGCATAACTCTGGGCAGCATATTTCCAGTTCGTACGGCGGGAAAGAGCTTAATGTCGTCGTCGTCGTCGTCGTCGTCGTCGTTGTCGTTGTCGTCGGCTGCTGTGGCAACGACAAATTCCCACGGGAGCACAAAGGCCGAAATGTATCGCGGACGGTTGGGCGCCGCAAGCGTTATGCGACCGAGACGTAGGAGGACAACCGGAGGAGCTCGCATTAGAAAAGTCGCGAAAACGACCGGGGGTAAGTTGCGCAACGCCAATGTAACGGCTGGCGCTGACAATCTCAGAATCTCAGAATCGGTCTTGGAATTGGATGCCCGAGCGGAATAGGAAGGAGGGGCAAAGAAAGCCATGGAAAAACGGATCGTATTTATTACGTCTTTATTTGGACGAGGCCAAATATTTATCCAGCCGCTTCCGACTGCGGGGGAACGAGGCCAGACTGGGTCACATGCAAGGTACATAGAGGAGGAACGAGCCGTCGAAGGCGGAGAGCCGGGCGGCGCCCGTAATTTGTCATCGGCGCAATATTTCATGGGGAAGGTAGGTGAGGTCCGCCCGAGTACAATAAGGAACTCGGAGGCGCGCGCGCGTACGCCCGTGGAATCGAAAATAATTTTCCCCCAAATCAAGATAAATGACGAGGCGAGACCAGAGTAAAAGATGATAAAAATTCATTCGCCGGCTTATGCCCCCGCGGGAAGTGTAATCGGCGCGTAGCAGGGCGTTATTATTTGCCGTCCTCAACGCGGATTTGCCGCCCCTGTGGCTGCGGTCGGGGGTTGCCAGTATACGCGCCGATGGAGCTGTTAGCGTTGCGCTGCTATAAAAGCGTCATCGGGCCAGCGCGCATCTATCAATGTTCCGGCCGGCCGGAACAATGGCGGATGACGAGGGGAGGAGCGCCAAGAATCACGATGCTTCCTCTCTCTCTCTCTCTCTCTCTCTCTCTCTCTCGCCCTCGCGAGAGCGTGCGCTAACACAGAGAGAGAGCGAGAGAGAGCGAGAGAGAGAGAGAGAGAGAGAAAGAGTCTAGGCTTTCTCTCTCTCTCTCTCTCTCTCTCTC